GTATGGACACTATATTAATGGAGTCGTTGTTAAAATTCCTAAATCACTTCCAGATGCATGTCTGCGACAGTTGGGCCGCGAAATGCTTACTGTCAGACCGTTGAGACGGAGCCGCCGCGACCGGCGCTATCATCCGCCGGAATTCAATGACACCGACCGCCAGGCGTTCGCCAAGACATCGCTCATTGGTTCCGCGAAATTGCTATATCTTCAGTCACTTTGCAATAAAAAGATTACCATTTGTTTAACGCGTTTAGACATAAATCATTTCAAACGCGATCTGAAAATTAATTTTCCATATAATTCACAATTTATTTCCGTTTCATCTCTTATTAAAAACCAAAAACAATTTTCTTTATTAAACAACAATTGCGAACATTATTGCCAACAATCAATTGATTCTAATGCGACCGCTGATCGCACGCATACCTCCTCCACCATCGCCTCCGCCGCCGCTCAAAGCGATCATAAAATACAATCAGATAATGACATTGAAATGCCGGACGAAATACCCGAAAGTCCGTTGAATGAGAGCGCGAACAATGAGACGGACGACGACGGCATCTATAGCTTCTATTNCGCCGCCGCTCAAAGCGATCATAAAATACAATCAGATAATGACATTGAAATGCCGGACGAAATACCCGAAAGTCCGTTGAATGAGAGCGCGAACAATGAGACGGACGACGACGGCATCTATAGCTTCTATTCGGACAAAACTCTTTCCCAACATTTCTCTCAATCGACAATCAATTCTCAAATGTCTAGTCAATCGTTTGATCCGACATCCAGTCCATTGGCCAGCAGTTCATTAACGGCCAGCCCTATGATCGCTACCGGATCTCAGCGGCGATACCTTAAACAACACTCGACGCCAATGAATAGCCAAAAGTGTAAACCATTTACGCCGACAGTCACGGATTCCACTAAAAAGGAGTTAGATTTCGAGCTGAGCTGCTCTTCAGGGACTAAACACGACTCAATGGCCGCCAAAAATCGAGCTCTTTTTTATCGCAATGAATCCATTATCGAAGGCCCGACTCTTTCCAACTCGTTTGCGTTCAGTAGTGTTGACGATATCTCGAGCCCACCCGCCGGTGCCTCAGACCGTGAATGTCAGTACTTGACATCAATGAGCGTTGAGATACACGCGTCGACTTGCGCTAAACTCAATCCCGATCCCAACACGGATCCAATTGAAGTGATATTCTATAGCGTGTCTTGTGATGCGCCGACCGGTGCTGACGCCGATCCCTTGCGTCCGAAATATACGACCGGTTTGATAGCCGTCGAGCCGGACGTCGAGACCGTCGAGTCGTTGAGCGCCAGTACAAACACTGTGCGCACTCGGCATCGGCGAGCCCTGCATTCAATGAGCGCCGCCCACCCGGAGCTGACCGTCGATTACGTGGACGACGAGATCATCTTATTAATGAAGTTCGCGGAACTCGT